GGTGCTGTAGCCCCAAACCAAAGAATACCAGCAGCTTACAGAACCTGAGCAAGGGGACTGGAGATTTAGCTCAGCAGCACAGCACCTGCCTGGCAAGTGCAACGTTGTGAGTTCGGTTCCCGGTACTGGGGGGGAAAAAAAGAACCTGAGCAAGACAAAGAAGAGATTTCTTCCTGAGAGCCTCAAAATAAGGCACAGTTCTTTTGACATTTCACTCCAGCACTGTAAAATCAAATTTGGACTTCAGCCTCCAGAACTCTGAGAGAATAAATTTCTGTCCTTTCAATTAAAAAAGGCTGAGGTGATTCACTACAGCAGTCATACAAAAATATGCCCTAGTTGATAAATTTTTTTCACAAAATATGTTACATATGTAACTACATGTTTACTAAAATTGAACAAAAAATTACTTAAATATTGTAGATAATGACATCCAGGTCTCAAATGCTGGCAATACTAGGAAAAAAAGAACTCTTCTACATTGATGGTGGGAATGTAAACTGGCATAACCGCTATTGAAATCAGTGTAGGGATTCCTCAAAAAACTAAAACTAGAGGTTCCATTTGACCCGTATGTTCCCCTCCTCGGTACCTTCCTGAAAGAGTTCAAGCATCATACCACAGTGATACATGCATGTTTAGAGTAGCACAATTTACAATAGCTAAATCTTGGAAATAGCCCATATGCCCATCTATAGATGAACTGATAAAGAAAATGTGATATTTATACACAACAGAATACTACTATGGCATAAAGAAGGATAAATTTGAGCCATTTGTAGGTAAATGGTTTCACCTCAAGATCATACTCTTAAGTGAAATAAATCTGACACACAAATTTAAATATCACATTGTTTCTCTTGTGTAAGAAACTCTAAGGGTACACAAGAAGCAAACTGGAGGACAGATATTGGGAAGTAGGCAGAACATGTTCAAGTGGGAAGAAAAGTGGGGAGACATGGAAGGGAAAAAGAAAAAAGGACAGAAGAAAAAACGGAAACAAAGGTTTTTTAAGTGGGGTAGGGAAGAAGAATTGAAGTGAGGGGAGGGGAATAGGTAAAAAAGAATAGTCAAGATATATACAAGCACAAATTGCTTAAGATGAATGTGATTGACATGTCTAAGAAATATATACTAGTAAAAAATATAAAGTTAAAAACATGACATCCAGGTTTCACACTCTTAGAGAAATTATATACAAATAAACAAAGGGGGAATACCAGAGTAGTCATTTTTGCATCACAACAGAAAAAATATAAAGATTTAAAGCATAGAAAGATTTATGGAGCTCACAGTGTTTTGAGTTTCAAAGATCAGTTGGAGGGGGCATTGGTTTGGCCTCTGGTGAGGGTGGCAGATGGCAGCACATCATGGCAAGAGGGCACATAGAGGAAAATGGTCCTGTCTCACACAGAAGTGGAGAGAGACACCGGGGGCCCACAGTCCCCGCTGAGGGCATGCTCCCAATAATCTCCGAACTTCCCACTCAATATTCTCATTGCCTCAATAAATACATGAAAAAATGTTCAACATCACTGGTCATTCCAGAGATGTAAATTAAAAGAACATTGACATTCCATCTCAGATTCCATCTCAACTCTAGAAAGAATGGCTATCATCAAGAAATCAACCAATAACAAATGCTGGAGGGGTTGTGGGAAAAAAGGAACATTTCTCCACTGTAGGTGAGAGTGTAGGCTGGAACCATCACTGTGGAAATCAGTGTAGAGATTCCTCAAAAAACTAGGATTAGAGGTCTCATTCGACCCAGTTATGCCCCTTCTTGGTATCTTCCGGAAGAATTAAAAACCTCATACCACAGCAATATATGTGCATTCATGTTTATAGTAGCACAATTTATTATAGCTATATCTTAGAAACAGGCCAAATGCCCATCCATTGAAGAATGGATAAAAAAGGTGTGGTCTTTTTATACAATGGAGTACTACTCAGCCATAAAAGAAAGATAAACTGAGACCTTTATAGGTAAATGGATGCACCTTGAGACCATACTCATTAGTGAAATAAATCAGACTCACATGTGTAAACATCATATTGTCTCCCTAGCATGAGAAGCTGAAACAGTAAATAATTTCTAAAATGTGCAATGGATATTGTGAAACAGGGAGAAATTGTTCAAAAGGAAAAAGGAACTAGGATGGGTGAAAGGGGAAAGGAAGGAAGGGAAAAAAATAGAAGACAGTTAAGATAGTTATGCTACTGGTTTCTCTTAGTTCATTGAAAAGAAAGGTTTTTGCTCATACAGTTTGGACAATTTTTCATGCCTATATCTTGTACTCTGAATAACTACCTTGAAGATAACAATACACAGTGTATTAACTATTGTTATTCTCCTATTGTTTTGTTTTTTTCCATAAAATAATAATAATAATAATAAACTCGGAGCTCAGAAAAAAAATTCTCATTGCCTCCCAGCACAGCCACCCTGGAAACCAAGTCTTTAACACATGGGCCTCTGGGGGGATAGACGTTCAGTATCCAAACTAACACATGAACAAACTCATGTTGCTAGGTTTATCAATGTAAATTTATGCTGTTTCATTTTTATCAGATAGACACACAAACAGATATATATAATTAAAAATAATCTTTAGAAGGTTATTTGATTATATCAAGTTACTTCTGTGCTATATTAGGAGAACTACATGGACATGCCCACACTAGTTGGATGACCTATGACATTAAAACACAACCAGACAACCCTGGTTCCTTTCTCCTTTTTGCCTTGTACCTGGATGCCACTCAAAGATACTACTTTTACATAACCAATACTTTTCCAATTTTAGGTGATACTAGTATCAAACCACAAGACAATCATTTATTACCACCTGGAATATATCACCACCTGATTGGACCACTGCAATTTCATTCTAATTGTTTTATCTAGCTCTAATTTCTTTCAAGATACTTTAATCTTCCTTAAACATTCCTCTTCTTTTGTATTTAATATATAAGTTCCTTATTGGCCTCAAAAATCAAGTCAGAACATTTCAAGATCTTCAGTAAAGTAGTTCTACCATATTTATTAAACTCAAGTTTCCTGTTATTCTCCATTCTAATTAGGACAATTTTTTAATTTCATCCACACATAATAAATTTGTGATTGTGACTTATGATAGTGTTCTTACCTAGAAAAGTCTCCTTGTCTTTTTACTAGTTCAGTTAAATTCTATTAGTCAATGAATGTTTTATAAAATCCTACTAAACATTATCCACAGAGTTCACTAATAAAAAATATAATTGCAAAAGGGTGTCAATTCAGGATTGGGGTAGAACTTAGTGGTAGAATGTATGCTCAGTATGGGGAAGGCCTTGGATTCCATCCTGACCATCAAAAAAGAAAAAGTGTGCAAAAAGGACCAACTTACACACAAGAATTTTATAATCTACATACCCTTAAGTTTGTAATTAAAATTCTACTTCTTCAGTGGATCCTTCTTAGGTCTTCCAATCCATGATGACTTTTTTCTTTTTTCCAGTTTTTAATGCAATTGGTCTATTCTTTCCCACAGATCGTTATAAACCATAGAAACAATTTATAACTATTTTATTGTAATGAGCTTTTGTTGTTTCCTGTGTTTTGTCTCCTCAACCAAGTTCTAAAGTCCTTGAGTACAGGTCTGTATCTTCTAGTCCTTTTATATCCTTTTATGATGTCACTCATGTGCCCTGTAGATACTTCTTTTATTTTACCTCATTTGTTGGTACCTAATAACCTAACCATGCTGCGGTGGATAGACACTATTCTAACGTAAAAATAAATTATGGAGTCACTGGGTCTGTCAAGACTAAAACCAGTTTTGCAGCTTTTAAAGAACAAATAAACCAATTCCATCTTTTGCTCCTTTCTTATACATAATCAGTCTTTATTAAATAAAAATTACCAATTAATTTAATCCTTAGGTCACAAAATAAGTACTTGATATGAAAAGTAATAATTTTGATCTGTTCAAAAGAACAGGATCAGTTTTGATCCTGTTCAAAAGAAAATGGAAAAACAAAATCATCCTTTCCAGCTCCAAATGTACGAGTTGAAGTGTCAGATGAAAAAGAAAACGTAAACACATCTTCTCTTCGTTTCCCAAATAAGTTTCCTGAGGGAGATAAATATTATCAGATCATGCTACTCATGTACTACTCAGATTTTTGAATTGAGTTTTTATCTTTCAACCAGTTCTCAAAGGTCTGCGTTTTTAAAAATACAATCTAAATTTTCTTAAACCCTATTATTAGTTATACCAAACTTCTTCAAAGACTTTGGGAAGGCTTAAAATAATACAGCTGTGATACACTGTAAACACTGAAGAAGTAGATAAATCCTTTCCTACAATTTGGTTGGCATATTGAGACTGATAATGCTGCACTCACTCCCAAAAGAAGTATGGAAAAAGTTTCCACTCACATAGCAAGGCTTTCTTGGGACAGGCGGGTAAGTCTCCCAACCTGACTTGAAAACAGCTTTGAGAAAGCCCAAAAATTGACTGACTTTGGGTTTTTACAGTAGATAGAAGGTGAGAGTTCCTATATATAGTTTCAACCTCCTGCTGTCACCAAAAAAGAGAGTAATCAACTTATTAGTTTGACTAGATGTGGTGCAGAAGGTGAAACAGAAGTTGTAAGGTTTTAAAATCTTCCAGCAATTACACAACAAAATATGGAGTCATACTTTTTATTACTTGGCAACAACACAACTAATTTAAAAAGCACAAAACACAAAAATATTGAACAATTTTTGGATGATTTAATCAAATTTAAGTATTTTCATTAAAATATATATATATATATATACTGATACAACAACCCAATTTTCAGATATTAGTCTTTCAGATATTAGTTTAATTTTATTCCTTTAAAGATATTAACATAACTGATTAAAATAAAAATGTTATGATTTGTCACATTTAGAAGGAAATAAAAGACTTTACTCACTGTTCATAATACGTTATTTGAAATTATTAAAATATCATTCTATATCCTGCAACAGTGAAATCCAGTGATTTTAAAGGAAGTTAGTTGTTAAAGTACACCTTAGCATTAATCTGCACAATCATCACTAAAAAAGGTCTGATGGCCTGAAGGAATTCTTGTTCTTATCAAAACAATTAAACTACTACCAGATAAAATAGGGAGTAGCAAGCTAAATATTTCTAATAAAATTTAATAGAAAATGCATCAAATTATATTCAGATTAATAAAAGTTCTGCCTGAATATAGCCTGAAAAATCAAAATAAAAGTGAATAATTAGCTAATTCCACAAATAAAACACTCAACATTTAAAAATTTAATTACTTATAATGAAATAATACAACTATGATAATCTACTATTACTTTAATCAACAAAAGGAAGAACCTTCATGTTTTCAGTAATAATGTAAATTTACACCCTAGATGACTAGAGACTAAAATAATTCAAAAAACTAATAACTAGTTCAAAAAAGACTAAATTGTGTTGTATTTTGCAAAGAAGATGAAAAACCTTCTGAAGAGGAAGGTACAGAGTTTTGATCCTGTTCAAAAGAAAATGGAAAAACAAAATCATCCTTTCCAGCTCCAAATGTACGAGTTGAAGTGTCAGATGAAAAAGAAAACGTAAACACATCTTCTCTTCGTTTCCCAAATAAGTTTCCTGAGGGAGATAAATATTATCAGATCGTGCTACTCATGTTATATAAAATTTACATAACCTAACAGAATAAAATATACTGCATATAATAAATAGAGTAGCATCGAAGCACTTATGAGATAGCTGAGTATCAGATATTCTTTCTCTGGGCAAGGCACAGAACCTTTCCTTAGTATTAGGAAAGGTTAAACCAAACTCGAACTTAACCTTACTTGGAAGTACTTCTAACTTAAGTACATAAAGAACATGTGTACCCAATTAAAAGAGGGTAAAACACCTCAAATGAAGAGAAGAGCAGAGAAGCCCAGAAACAGGAACATGTAAGAAGCATCAGGGCAAAAGAATTGATATTCACTTTTGGCAGGGGCACTGAGAAATAATAAAGATATACTGAGCAGTAATTAATGAAGATGAGCTTAGAAAGGCTATTGAGTGTCCCACTGTAGAGTATGGTCTTTATTTAGTAAATAATGGGAAACAATTAAGCATTTCAAGCACAGATACAGTACTTGAGCTGCTCTATAAGGATTACTCAGGAGGGAATATATAGAAAGGCTGAATTGGACAGTCATTTTAGGAATAAACAAAAGGAAAAAAGTCTGGCCAAGAGATGGTAAAAATCTGGTGATCACAGCAATGCAAATGGAGAGAGAAAATACCAGAGCTGAGCTGAAACATAATGCATAAGCCAAACATCCAATTATTATTTATTAACTACAATAAATGTTTGAAGACTTGCTCAAGAAAACAGACAGAACACTGAAAAGAATTCTATCATTTTGAAAAGATTTTTCAAAATCAACCTTTCATATAAAATTATGTTGCTGACTCCTAGAAATTATGTTGCTGGCTCCTAGAAATGCCAGTAAGGAAATTTATTATTTAAATTTATTATTTTAAATTCAATATATTTAAAACTATAAGTAGAAAAATATTCTCTAATATTTTAAATTTAATTTAAAAATTATTAACTTAAAAGCTACACTAATCCAGAGTAGAAACAAATATTTTAAAGCATCAAATTTTCCCACAATAATAACTTATTAACTAGGCAAAAGAAATTACTTTGTGCCACTTGGAAATTTTCATATAATTTTTTAACATTTCAATTATTTCACTCTAAATAGAACAGCGCCAGCCAGAAATAAAATAAAATACGGGGAGAGGGACTGATTACCAGTTACTTGTGTTCTTCCTCTCCCCCTTTCTCATTTTACTTTCTACTGATTTCCATATACATCCATGTAGGACTTTAAGAAAAATATAGCTCAGAAAGAATTAAAATCTTGAGTCCCTCTCTTCATAAATGAATCTGGTTTTGTTTTTCATTTCAGAATAAATTCATATGAGGTCTTCATAAAACTCTGATGCTCACTGTAAATAAAAGACTGACTACACAAGGCAGTATTCTTTGTGTTGTGAGCATTTCAAGGATAAATAAAACAGGTCCCTGCCCTAAAAAGAAACTATGATTCAGAGTCATAAATATATATTCATAAATAACTAATGATAGGAGATTACAGAGTATGAAAAAGAAGAGACATTCAGAAAACTGAGGAAGAGATCTTTTTGGAATAAAAAGCTAATGGAGAAAGAAAAGATTTTATGGATGAGATCTTCGTCTTCAAAGACAGACATGTCATGGAAGTTGAGGATTCCAAGAAGAAAAAAGTAAGTAAGAAAATTTTGGCGTATTTGACTGAGTTGTCTAGTCTGGCCAAAGCACAAGTAATGCTTACAAAAGTAAAGGCTTAAAAGTTATGCTGGAACTAAATTTAAAAAGTAAGAGAAAGCTGGGTGTGGTGTTATATGCCTGTAATCCCAGTGATTTGTTAGGCTGAGACAAACAGATGTTTGATCCTAGCCAGGGAGACTTAGCACGACCCTGTTTCAAAGAGTAAAAAAAAAAAAGGAGGCGAGTTGGTAGTGGTTATAGCTCAGTGTGAAGGCCCTGGCTTCAATCTCCAGTACTGTGAAAGAAAAAGTACAATAATTTGATCGTCAACAGGGAGCCAGCAAAGATATTTGAATAGGGCAGTAACACAGTCAATATGATAAATAAGGAAGATCATTTGAGCTGTGATCTGCCACTATTTCAGCCATCATCAACTCTCACTTCTACTGTTTTAATGGCTTCTTAGTCCATCTCCCTGCTTTCACCCTTATTTCCCTACAGTATGTTCTCCATATAGCAATCACAGTAATTCTTTTAAAACCTATCTGATTATTTCAGTTCTTTGTTCAAAACCTTCAAATGGTTCTGCATTTCATTCAGGAAAAAAATTCGAAGCTTTAATGTTCTACAGGACCCACATGATTTGCTGCCCCTCCAACCTCTCCACTTTAATCTCCTGAACTATTTATCCTTCCTTATTCCATTCCAATATCGCCAATTTACCTGTTATTCAGTGAACAATACCAAGTATGTTCCCATCTCCTGTCCCTTGCCCAGAACACTTTTCTCACTTGCTGCACCTCCTTTACACCTCGGCTCAAAAGTTACCTTTCAGTGATGCCTTCCCTGACTGATGTAGCACAGCAACCACCTTCCCAGTACAACATTTTCTGTCCTCTTACTCTGCTTTGCTTTTTTTCACATTTTTTATTAACACCAGTAAGAGCTAACCTCCATCCTGGGCTGATTCAGAACCACTTGGAAGAAGGACTTGGAATTAGACATGTTGCAATACTGCTTACTTAGAAAATATAGAAATAAGGTAAATTTAGAGTGTTGTATCTGACTACTCTGCTGTGTGAGACCACACCCGAATTAAAAGAGTTAAATTTGCGTAGAAGTCTTGGACCTCATGACTAGAATGCTATAAAACACTGGTGGGTGCTGCAGATTTTTGTACGTCAACATGACATACATGCACCATGCCCCATCCACAGGAGCCTGGAATATTCCACATAACTGAGGAGGCAAAAGAAAGTTTATTACGTGAGTAGCTGGGAGGCCTTTCAGTGAGACAAAGATGCTGTCCCTGCTGTTATCTCCTATCTGCATCCTTCTATAAAGTAAATATAATTTTAGATTTTACATTATAACATGAATCTGTCTGCCAATTCAAACCCATAAAAACTGTCGTTTAATGCACCACCTCATCTATTACACTTTGATATATTTGTCTATCTTTGGGCTCTCCTTCTAAAATATAAGCACCCTATTAGAATTTTGCATTCTTGTCTATTCTTCTATCATTAAAATTGATGATGAATACCTGATAGAAAAATATAACATATGCACATGGATGTATTTATACGTTGAATGAATTAACCAATCAAGTGCTAAAAGATCTCATAAAAATATACGCACTTCTAGGAAGAAATCCACAAATTTCAGAAAGAAAATGGAAAGTCAACCTTATCATATGCTACAAAGGGACTGAATATGGTAACAATGCAAGCTACCCATAATATCTGATAACTGAGAAGTCATTAGAGATCTTAAAGAAAGCAAGTATTGCAGGACAGTGAGACAAGAAGCTAAATCACTTTTTAAAAAAAGATTAGTGAGTGGCAGAGGTAACTGCCACTCACATTCAGTTTATTTTAAAGAATAAGCTGAATGCCTCAGAAAATCAGAGACAAACTAAATACTAAAGGGAAAAGTTAACATGTTTTTAGATGTGGCAAACCTTAAATCACTTACCAATTTCTTGTGATGATGGAGGATTGAGATTTACTGCAGAATGATGATGTTCACTAGGCTGGAAAAGAATTTCCATTAAATATTACTTGTGAAATCAGTATATACAGCATTTATATTTGAATCTAAAGCCTGGTGCTTCTAATATACAGGATTAGAGTAAAGATCCTCATAGCTTTTTATATGGCATACTACTGTACTTAAAGAGTTCCGTACTACTGGGATATGCTCAGCGGTAGAGCCCTTGTCTAGCATATATCAGGCCCTGAGTTTAATTTCCAGCACTGGGAAGAAAAACTAAAAAGCTATCTTCATTTATTTATATCAAAATAAGGCCCACTGATTTGATTATATCAACAGATAACTTATTGATAGGCAAAATACTATTCTAAGGATAATTCATACTTTAAAATCTAAATACCTGAAATTCTAGTCTTATCTAAAATTACAGTCAATTTGATTTGTTCTGAAGGCCTTTAACAACTCAGGTTTTTAGTGTTGCCTTTCTACCTACAAAAGTAATAGAATGGATGGTGAGAGCTTCATATCAGAAGCTCTGACCAAGTTTTGCTGCCCCAAAGAGTTTACTTTCTCAGTAAGGTAGGCTTTTAAAAAATGAAATCATGAGAACTTCACATTATATGCCTTTTTTCATGTCCCTGTTCTTCTAAAGCTTGACTCTATCATAGCAGTATAATATTCTTCTTATAAACATACTATACAATTTCAACCATTCTTTTATTTTTGCACATTTAAATTGCTTTGAATTTTTCTATTATAAAAAGTATGCTTGAATAAATACTGTTAATGCACAGAATCACATTTCTTTAACAATTAACAAGGAAAGCTGTTTTTCCATGACAGTGTGCAAATCACTTGAATTTCTTTTTCAGTAATCTATTCACCGAAAGACCTTTGCCCACTTATATAGTGAGAGTATCTTTTCTTATTGGTACATAAAAGTGTTTTATATATTAAAGATATTCTGTCATATTATTGCAAATATTTTATACTGCTTTATCACTTTGTCTTTAAAAACATATACAATATACAGAAATTTAGATTCTGCATGTAATTAAACTTAATTTTTTTCTTTTATTTTTCCACTGCTTTTGTGCTTAGAGAATCTTTCCTCCTAAGGTCTGGTGAATATTCACCAGTATTTCCTCTAAAATATTTAATGGTTAATCTTTTTTAATTTGTTGAATCTAAATATAGTTTTGTGGGTATACAGTGTAACATGAGGGCATAAACTTTCCCTACTAATTTGTGGTCCCTTTACCACATTCAAAGTTCTTTTGTTTCAAGAACTTTCAGCCCATACCACTGATTGTTCTGTCAATCTTATACATTTATACATATATCTTGCACACTATTTTGATTACTCTAGGTTTAATGTTTAGAAAGTAAAATTGCCCTGACTAATCCATTTAATAATATTTAGGATGTATTATCTTCTTTCTTTCTTTTTTTGTACAGGGAATCAAACTCAGGACCTTGTGCTTGCCACATAGGAATTGTGTCCCTCTTCTTTCATTTCTAATGGAGGTAAGGTGTCTTATCTTTTTGTAAATCTAGCAATGACTATATCAATTTTGTCAATTATTTTCAAAGAACCAACTTGGGCTTGTTTTTCCATTTCACTGACTTCTCATTTATTCTACTCCTTTATTCTATCTACTTTGGATCTGCTTTGTTTTTCTTTTTCTAGTCTCCCAAGATAGAATCTTAGGTCATAAACATTAGACCTTTCTTCTGTTTAATGGTTTAAATTATTAACTAAATTATTTAAGGTCATCATTTTGCTCTGTTTTTGGCAGAATCCTGTAATTTTTGATAAGCTGAATTTCCAAAATAATTTAATTCAGAACATATTATGATGTTTGCCATGAGTCTTTCTTTATTCTAGGACCTACATATATAGGTTTTTCCTAGAGAACTTACTGTTACTGAGTTCTAATTTAATTGCATTGTGATCAGAGAACATTCTCATATTTTAATTGCTTTAAATTCATTAAGACTCATTTTATGGCTTAGAATATTGTCTATCTTGATGAATTTCTCATCAGCACTTGAAAAGGGTATACAGTATGTTACAGTTGTTGGATATGATGTTCTACGAAGTTCAATTAAGTCAAAGGAATTGATAGTATTCTTCAGGTCTTACTGAGGACACTGACAGTACTGTCCAATTCTACCAACTGCTCACACAGGGGTGCTAGAAATACCCATGTTTGAAATTTTATTTCTCTTTAGTAATTTTTATTTAATGTATTTTGAAGCTGCTCTTAGGTACATACACACTTGCAACTTCTGTATCTTTCTTATGAATTGAACTGTTTACTTTTATGAAATATCTCCCTTATTGCTAATACTATTCTTTATCTTGAAGACTACTGTTATGGCTTGTATCTAGATGTCCCTCTAAAGCCTCATGCACTCACAGGTGGGGCTTTTCTGAGGTAGCTGGATCTAGGATGTGTAAATGTGGATTAAGGGTGTGTGAATATAGATTAAAGATGTGATAACTAAGTTCACTGATTGGTTTAGACTAGTTCCGAGTCTGGACAATGGGAAGGCCGACCCTGGGTGTGTGTGGCACCACCAAAAAGGCTTGTAGCCTGGATGGGATAAAAGGGAAAGGGAAGCCTGTTGCTACTGCTTCCTCTTTCCTGATCAGCCATGGACTATTTCTCTTCGGCAACATCCCTCTGCCATGCTACGCTGCCAACTATGGACTAAAACTTCTACAACCTGTGAGCCAAAATAAACCTTTCCTCGTTTAACTTGTGGGTGTTGGGTAATTCATCTCAGCAACAATAAAAATAACTAAGACAATGACCAAAAATGATGCAGACATTATGACCTGCTTATGGTTAGTTTTCATGATATCATTTTCTTTTTTTTTTTTTTTTTTTTTTTTTGGTTTTTCTCCGGTACCGGGAACCGAACTCACGACCTTGCGCTTGCCAGGCAGGCGCTTTTGCCGCTGAGCTAAATCCCCAGCCCCCATGATATCATTTTCCATCCATTTATTTTCAACTATTGTTGTCTTTACAGTTAAAGTATATCTCTTATAGGTGCCTTATATTTGGGTCTTTTTTATCCATCCTTATATTTTCCTTCAAATGGAATACTTAGCCCACTTGTATTAATGTAATTAAAAGGTTTATAATTTGATCTAGCATTTTACTATGCTATGCATTTTACTTACTTCCTTTGCATTTTGTTACTACATTTCTTCTTTCTTCCTTCTTTTGGATTACAAAGTTTTTCACAATTCCATTTTAATTTATAACCAATCTCATTTTTTAATATTGTCTTAAATATTTTTTACCACTTTTCCCTAAGAAGCTTACTATTTATCTGACTAATCTCCTTCTCCAGCCAATTATCACATGCACAAAAAAATTAAAGATAATCTTGCCAGGATTAGGTCCAAATTTGATTACATTTATAAATTATTTTGAGAAGAAATTTATCTTTATAATAATTTGTTGCTATACACATACTTCAATATCTATGTATAAATATTTTCTCAGTATTTTTGAAGTTTTCTGTATTCAAAATGTACATGCTTTCTTTTAAGATTGTGTAACATTTATTTTACGTTCATGTTGTAAATGAGAATTTAATAACTACAGTCTATTTTTTATGTTTAGCACACTTCTTATAGGAGTTGTTTTTGAAATAGACATTTCAATAAATATTGAGATAAAAGTTGAGAACATGAAATGATATTCTATATCAACTATCAATACATTTGCATTTTAAACAATATAATATATTGTGGGGAATATAATAAAAAATCTAATTCATATAAAAATGGCTAAATGTGGGTAATTTAAATGCCTAATAATAATAAAAGTTTATTCTATATATTTATTCATTAAGAGGTTGGTACTTTCCTAAGTGCTATGTGTATAAACTCATTTAATATTAATAAATTCTATGGTAACAATTATTGCTATTTCCACTTTACAGATAAGAAAACGGAGTTACTTAGTCAATATCCCACAGACAGTATATATCCAAATAATGTCGATTCTAAGTCTAGCTTTAATCATGATAGTAAATTGTCTATACTTTTCAAATAAGGATGTCTTAATTATTGGGTTCAGTGGCTAGATACAGAAGCACTTTACCATGATTTACATCACTAAAAATTAGAATATCAGAAGGAAATTCTTTAAATCTTTTAAAATTAATCAATGTGGTATATGCAGTGTTGTCACGTACATACATGTAGTTGGAAAGACCAACTTATAATGGCTGTGGTAGTTGACGGTGTGTAGCTTATTTTCACATTAAAAATATGTTGTTTAGAATTTCACATTAATTTTAAGATCAAATTCATTTTAAACTGCCTTTACCTGCATTTTAAATCTTCTTCACCTTGAACCTCTTAAAGGAAAAAAATGTGAACTTGGGACATCTGAAGTTAAGAATAAAAAGATAGGGAACTTTGTTCTACTATTAAAACTCAAGTGCCCATGTGCGCACATGGTGGGTGAGGATAAAACCCAAGGTCTCATGTACTCTAGGCAAGCGCTCCACCACCGAGCTACATTCCCAGCTTGATGCTCAGAATTTTTTAAATTGCCTCTGTTGGTACTCTGTGTCCCAAGAAAGTATGGTACTAAGGAATTAACCAAGGTTCCAACATACAATTTTTAGAAATAAAACTTTAGCTTCTCATTTTACCTGATCTGATGATGTTTCTGAGTCAAATATAGAAGAATCAAATAAACTCAATCCAGGTGATCTAGAACTATAACTCATAAGAAATGAAAATCCAGAAGACTCAGTTTGTGATTGACCTTCAAGTACTGCATTTCTGTTTCTGTTACAGAGAGATTTAAAAAATCATCAAAATGTTATACATCTATTATTAAACACTACAGATTGTAAAGCAACAAAAGCAAAGGCAGAAAAGAATCAGCATAGTAGGAAAAAGTAGGGAGTAATCATTGAAATGACAAAGCTATGGAAAAAGAATGATTTGGATGTAGAATAATGTACAAAAATCTTTTTGGAGATAATAATTATGACTATTCACTAAGAATATACTGTCAGGCACTATTTTAGCTGTAAGGATAACTTATTCCTCACAATAACACTATGAAGTAGGTACTACTTTACAGTAAAGAAGTTTGCCATTTATAGTAAATTTTATAGTACATTTTACAATAAAGGGTTCTGAAACACAGAAAGGTTAAATGATTTGTCCAAAGGAGTAAGTGCCAGATTTGATATTTAAACACAGCAACCTAGATTCAGAGTCTAAGCTCTTAACCCTGATAATGTCCTCAAGATCTTGAAATCTAGTCACAAGATGTGTCTTAGATAAGAAACAAGCCATTACAAAGTTTTATGTAAGAAAGTTAAAACTATAAAGTGGGACACATAATTAGACAAGTATATAACTCAATGATTAGAAGTATAGATTCTATAGCCAGAACTATTTAGGTTTAAATCTCAACTCTTAACATTGATTAGTTGTAATCACTTATGATACTGTTTTCTTATCCATAAAGTTATTAATGTATGTACAATTCATAAGACTGTGAATATTAAATGACCAGTATTAATAAAGTATCTAGAACAGTGATTTGCATATAGTGTTCCATAAGTATAATACTTTTTAAAGTATAATAGGGAATGGGGAGTGGCTTGGTACGTGTTCAGTGGGTATAAGCCTTTGGTTTTGATCCCCTGCACCAAATGAATAAATGAATGAATGAATGAATGAATGTCTGACTCTGCCCTATCTCTGTGGCCATAAGTGAGTCACTTAACATTACAGATCATAATTTTTTCATCCAGGGATAGAGGTTTTAGCATGTGAGCAGATATTCTTTTACAGTTCTCACATTTAATGACGACTTCCATGTTGAACATCACGAGCTTGAGACAAAGCAGAGACTATCTATATACATAAAGTTTACTAGCAATTTAAAGTACAGAAGTAGAATACGGATGAGAGATCCCTGATGAAGTGAAATCTATTTGACGTATGTTTTCAGGAAACCTGAAGGGTCAGTGTCAAGGAAGAAACTAAACTAATTAAAAAGATTAAATGCAACACTATTTTCTTCACTGCAAACCAAAAATCGATGGTTTTCAAAGTTAAATACTCAAGTTAGAGATATTTTAACCTAAAGAGGTTACTTAGCATAATGGCAGTTCTTGCTTTAGACACTACATGTGGAACAGTGACGGCTGAAATGTTATTCAGTGGTAAGTCCACAGTCTACCATAAGTGACAGTAGCTCTTTAACGCGACATTTAAGTTTTTTCCACAGCTTCGGTATGCTTTGGGAAATCTAGTCTGTATACTATTTCAGTGGATAAGAATTCAGTGTATACATTATCTTCTGCATATGCTGCAGAAAAAATGAGAAAGCTCCATGAAATAGGAAGAGCAAAACATTAGTAATTGTTCCAACAGGGTTATAGCTACATGCAAGTTCATTATAACAATCTCTCCTTTACATGTCTCAAATATTCCATAATGAAAACTTTTTAAAGTTATGGTACTAGGCATTTTACTGTTCATATGAATTGCTTATATAACTAATGTATAGATAGTGTATAATTATTAATTAATATCCTACATTTCAAATAAGGGAGTTTTAGGTAGCTGCATTTTCTCCAAAGATTCAGGTGTCTTTATAGCTTCAGGAGTTCTTAAAAATAAAGGAGTTTCAGGAGTTCGTGGAAAATTCTCAGCCATTTCTTCTATTTTGTCACTGTTATCTTCTATTGATTTTTCAAAAGCTTCTGTACCTATCCCCTGAAAATTCAAAGTAACGGCAAATGGTAAAGCTGAATGTTACTGCATTAATAAAATTTCATATGTAAAAATGAATAAGGTGGGAAGCATCTTAATAATGGTATTTTACAGGTAAGAAAATTAAGAATAATTGGTCAACTGATACTAGAATATATATTGAAAAAATAGAAAAATAATTATTTTAATTATTTTATTTTTCTTTTCTTTCTAGCTCCATTTTTCTTGCTCCTACCTGAAAAAAGTAAATGACAACTGGAACAGACTAAAATTGATAGAGAAAAATGTTTAGGACTAATTTTTCTTTTGAAATTCCACATTATACTCTCATTACATATCCTATTTCCTTGGAAGAGAAAAGTAATTTATTTTTAAGCAATCTTGCTTTCATTGGTTTACGCTATAATTTGAAACTGAAACATCCCCTGAAGACCCATACGGTACAGGCTTGATCCCCAACATGGTGCTTTTGGGAGGTGGCAGAGACTTTACAGAGATGGGGCCTACTGGGAGATCTTCAGGTCACGGGGGCCTATCCAGCAAGGGGACTGAGGGGTCCTAGTCTCTTCCTGTATCACTTCCCAGCCACAGGGTAAGTGGTTTTGTTCCACCACATACTCTTACCATCAAGCACTACCACAGGTCCAAAGCAATGGGGCGATCCGATTACAGACTGCAACCTCTAAAACTGTGAGCCAAGTAAACCTTCTCTCTTCGTAAGTTCATTATCTCAGATAGCTGTTATTTTAGGACACTTGTAACAGAAAGATGACTAATACAATTTATAATGTTTTAGTAGCTAGTGTAGACTCAATATAAATTGTCTAAATCTATCATCATTAAAGTATCCACTATGCAAAAACATTTTCAAGATAACTTTTATGGTAACCACTGGTCTCCAGTTGGCATGGCAGATCATTCAATCTTACCAAACAAAATTGTTTTCTTCAATCATGATTTACTTGTAGTCTCATCTATTAGTGAAAACTTTTTGCATATTTTCATGTAAACTTGTAGTTTCAATTTTTAATCTGGAAAATATAATTTGTAATTCTAGAAGTCTGACTACCAACCTATTAACATCTCACATAAATATGTTCACTGTATTAAATCTGAAATTAAAATAGACATAAATTTAAATCAGAATTTTCTGCTTAGAAATTAAAGTCAAACATTTGACTTACTTGTGAAGTACATTCTGATTCTCTTACTTGTCTTCCTGTCCCTTTATCTTCATACTCAGCATCTGTTTGTTACATAACAATTTTTTGTTTTGAAATTTTATTGTAAAATGAAACATTCACTATATGAAATTAACCACATTTAACTGTTTGAACCTACAATATGGCCATTTTAAATGGTTCAGCATGATATATACAAGACAACAAAACAATATAAACAGTTTAACAATCAAAAATTATAAAGAGAACATCCACATAGCCACCACCCAAATAAAGAAATACACCATCATGAACACTCCAAAAGGTCTCATATTCTCCATGCTCTCCTCTTCAGAGGTAATCTTTATCCTAATTTCTGTGATAATCATTTCCTAATTTGTTTTATATGGCTTTATTATCTAAGTAATATATTTTATATGTCCTATTTTAAAATGTTATATGTTGAAATTTCATATTTTTGCTCTCATGTCTTGTTTTGTTCAGTATGCACTTGTGATATTCACCCATATTATCATATGAAGATCTAATTTTCTTAATGACTTAAGTTTTTCAAATACATCTGTACAAGGATATATGCAAAACTGTTACATAAAAAAGTTGTAATAGCTTCAACAATACCCATTTGCAATAAAATGCAGATATACTGTATGTAGTGTTGTGTTTCTAAATAATCCAATATCAGTTAATGAAATTAAAGAATTTTTTTAAAACTGCCAACAAAGAGAAGACCAAGTCCTGATGGAGTCATTGCTCAATTCTACAGAATTTAGAAAAGATCTAATGCCACTACTCTCAGTCTTTACTCCTCAAACTCTTTAATGAAGTTGAAAAGGAAGCAATACTCCCAACTCATTCCTGGAATCAAGAATTACCCTGGTACCAAAACCAGAGAAGGATACAAATAAAAAAGAACTACAGGTCAATCTCCTTAATGAACATAGATGCAAATATCCTCAGTAAGACACTGGCAAATAGAATGCAGCAAATCATCAGAAAGATTATACACCTTGACCAAGTAGGATATTGTTCAACATACACAAATCAATAAATGTAATATACCATATTAACAGAACCAAGGACAAAAACCACACAATCATCTCAATAGATGCACAAAAAGCATTTGACAAATTCCAACACCCATTTATGACAAAAACTCTCTAGAAACTTAGAATAGAAAGTCTTTACCTCAATCTGATAAAAAAAAAATCTATGACAAACCAACAGCCAACATCATACTAAATGGTCAAAAGCTGAAAGCTTTCTTTCTAAAATCAAGAACAAGATAAGAGTACCCACTATCACCACTCTTTTTCCTAGAAACATTAGTCAGAGCAACTATGAGAAAGAAATAAAAAGAATATAGATAGGAAAGGAAGAAGTTACATTGTCATTACTTGCTGATGACGTGATACTCTACATATAAGACTCCAAAACCTCCACCAAAAGACTCCTAGAATTAATAGCCAAATTCAGTAGTACAGACAAGATACAAAGTCCACAATCAAAAATCAATAGCCTTTCTGTACACATGCAACAAACTCGCAGAGTGAGAAATTAGGAAAACAAAACTTTTCACAACAGCATCAAGAAAAATGAAATACTCAGGAAGCAATCCAACATAGAAGTGAAAGACCTTTACATTTAAAAACTATAGTACACTTAAAAAGGAGATCAAAGAGGATATTAGAAAATGGAAAGATATTCCCTGTTCATGGACAGGCAGAACCAATATACAGTAGTAAAAATGGCTACACTTTCAAAAATGTTATACAGATTTAGTGCATCCTCAATCAAAATACCAATAGCATAACTCACAGAACTAGAGAAAATAATCCTAAAATTCACACAGAACCAGAAGAGACCTAGAATAGCAAAACTAATTCTGGGTAACAAAGGCAAGGCAGGGGGCATCATAATCTCAGATTTGACGTTATACTACAAAATATCATGATAAAAAAAAACGGCATGGTACTAGAAAAAAAACCACAACACCTTGACCCAACAATCACTGGAACAGAATAGAAGATGCAGAAACAACTCCATGCACATTCAGTTACCTAAACTCTGACACAGGGGCCAAACGTTGACTGGAAGAAAGCCTGTTTAATAAATGGTACTGGAAAAACTGGCTTTCCACATGCCAAGGATTAGACCTAGAAACATATCTTTCACCACACACTAAACTAAAATCAAGATGGATCAAAGATCTAAATATAAAAACAGACGTACTTAATCTGCTGGAAGATAAGACTAGGTAAAACCCAGGAAGACACAGATGTAGGGAAAGACTTTATGAACAAAACCTAGTCACACAGGAAATATTATAAAGAATCAACAACTGGGATCACATCAAATTAAAAAGCTTTCACACAGCAAAAGAAATCACCAGCAAAGTGAAAAGACAACCCACAGAATGGGAAAATATTTTTACTAGCTACTCCTCAGACAAAAGACTAGTATCTAGAATATACGAAGAATGCAGAAAAATCAGACTGCCCCCAAATTCAAAGACTCAATCCAAAAGTGGGCATCTCAAAGGAACAGGCACTTCTCAGATGAAGAAGCACCATCAGCAAATAAATACTGTAAGAAAAATGTTCAACATCACTGGTCATTCAAGAAATCCAAAATAAAATAACACTGAGATTCCATCTCATTTCAGAAAGAAAGGCTATCATTAAGAAATCAACCAGTAAGAAATGTTGGGGAAGCTGTGGGAAAAAAGACCCTTCCCCACTGTTGGTAGGAGTATAAACTGGTATAACCACTATGGAAATCAGTACTAAAACTACAAGTTCCATTTGACCCAGCTATTCCCCTTCTTGGCATCTCCCTAGAGGGTAAAAGCATCATTCCACAGTGATATATGCACACCTATGTTTATGGCAGTACAATTTATAATATCTATTTCTTGGAAACAGCCCATATGGCCATCTATAGATGAATGGATAAAGAAAATGTGGTATTTGTATATAACAGATATTACTCTGCCACAAAGAAGAATAAATTATAGTCATTTGTAGGTAAATGGATGCACCTCAAGATCATAATTTTAAGTGAAATAAGTAAGACATACAGTTTAAATATCACTTTGTTTTTGTTGTCTGAGAAACTCTAAGGGTAAACAAGGAGCAAAACGGAGGATAGATATTGGGAAGTAGGAAGAATATGTTCATATGGGAAGGGAACAAGAGAAAGGGGTGTGAAAAGAGAAAGAAGAGAAAACAAAGAATGGAATGGAAAAAATGAAAACAAAGCTGTTATAAAGAGGGGAAGAAGGGTTGAAGAGAAGGGAGAGGAATAGGGGAAAAAAGAATTAAGATACATCATGTCCAGGTACAAATTCCCTATGGTGCATGTGAGTATAGCAAGTATGTACTAATAAAAAAAATTTTTAAAAACAAAGTAGTTATATCAGATTTTAGGACAGCTACCCATCCTAGAAAACACTGGATCTCACTAGGCAAAATTATCAGCTCCAGCTATAACTCAGACATAATCTCAATATATGGTTAATTATCAACACCAGTTCCTACAAATAGTTTGGGAGTTCCTATTATCTCACATCCTCATAAAAATTTAATAAACTTTTTGAATGGTGCTGATCAGATTTCTCATTGTGGTTTTATTTTGAAGTTCCACAATTTGAGGCATATTTTTTTCATACATTTATCTTTTGAAGTGTCTATTCACATATTTGCACATAATTTTAACTGGGTTGTCTGCCTTTTTCTTCTGGATCTGTAATTACTCTTGACAGTTTTATGTACTACAAATATATCCTTTGGCTTGGGGACTCACTCTTTTTATGGCATCTTCTGATAAGAAGAATTTTAATTTTAACATAGCCAAATTTATCAATTTTCCTTTTATTATTGGACTTTTAAATTGTTTAAGAAAGCCTTCTCTATTCTGATATCATGAAAATGTTTTCTATTTGATCTTCTGAAAGCTTTATAATTTTTGCCTCTTGCATTTACACCATAACTATTACTTTTCACCACATATTAATTTCTTCAAGTCGTAAGTTTAAAGATTGTTGAAAAAAATCTTTATTTCTTTCAAAATAATTACATGCACTATATATGCTCAAGTAGGATGGTACAGTCATATACATTTCTCCATATTTCATTGTTGAGATGCACTGTTCCCAGACTATAGCTATACCTCCTTGTCTAACACTGTCAGTTGGCATACATAGGGCTTCTTAACACCTGAACAGATGTTGAGTTTTTCACTTAGGAGAAACCAGAGATTATTCATCTATGTGAAATAAGCATATTGTGCTGGGTAAATTCTACACACACTCTGAGAGAAATGAACTCATAATATATCACTACTTTGCTATGCATCCATTTACAGAATTTTCATGATGACTGAATGAGGCATTTCTTAAATTTTAACATAAAAAAGCCAGTAAGACCAGAAGAGGTGAAGACTTCTTTATAGCATAATAAATGAAATAATAGTTGTGCCTTACTAGGCTATCAAAATATATATGCACGGTATATGATATATACTACTGTGTACGTTTATGTACAGATATATCCATGCACGTATGTGTGTACGTATATATACAGAGAATTAGTATTTCCAAGGATGTATGAAAGCTCCAACAGCTAGCTGATTAGTGATTATAAACTCATGTATATATCCTGTGATCCTTTTGTGGTTTTATTTTTTAAAATAGCCCAGAGTCCTTTCCTAAAGACTAGTAAAAAGGAATATAGTAGCATTACTTATAATAAAGAGAAGAACTAAAAACAACAAAATATTCAGTATGAAAGAATGGGAACATGAACTGTGACATAACCATACCAGGAACATTACACAATCATTTTAAATAACTAATGACAGGGAGAAATAATCTCAATAGTCTATCAAATAGGAAAAAAGACACAAAGTTAGGGGCTAGGGATTTAGCTTAGTGGCACAGTGCCTGCCTGGCAAGCGTGAGGTCATGAGTTCGATTCCTGGTACCAGGAAAAAAAAAAAAGACACAAAGTTATGTATATAGTATGATTCAAATTTGGGGGGAAACAGCAAAACATACATATGAACTAAAAAAAAAAAAAAACTAAAAGAGTATACACCAGTATGCATGTTCTCAGTTATATTTAGAAGGAAATATTTTTGTTTTCTTTACATTTGTCTTTGTTTTTGAATTTTTCTTCAATAAAATGTATTCATTTTATACTTAGGGGAAATTTTATTTTACAGCTAGACATGCAAGGTCATTTAACATGATTTGCAAACAATTCAAATAATTTATTTGAATAACATAAAAACTGATATAATTTGCTACTCTTAGGAAAAATATGAACAAGTACCTGTGCGTCCTTTTTCAAACCACTGATTGTAATTTGATTGCTCCTCTGGAGTTAATCTAAAATACAATAAATATAATTTTTATATTATTTTTTCAGTTGATACTCATAAATTACTTCAGAAATTAAAGCTTTTATTGGTGATGCTGGGCCTCAAACCCAGGGCCTATCATATATAGGCCAGTACTCTACCTCTAAGCTACATTCCCAGCCCTTAAATATTTTATTTTAAAAAGTTACCTTAATTGCACAAAATTGTGTGCACTTTTAATAGTTGTTACATGTGAATCATCATTCATATTAGAGTCATTAAATACCTGAAAGAAAGAAATTAAGCACTAAAAATTACTAAATAAAACAATAAACACTTGCCATAGCTACTGAGGGCCCTCAATACATTAACATTTCATTATCATCATCATCATTATCAATATCAACAAGTACAAACATTAACTGAAATCACCACACAAAAACCATAAAGTCAAACACTGGGAGACAAACAAACAAAAACCCTCAAGGTTCTCAAGGGAATTGATTTTTTATCAAGTATAATAAGTATTTGTGCTAGTATTTTTACATTTAAGGTAAACATATTAGTCCTTTTCCCAACTCTGTGTAGAATACCCAACACATAATTTAAAGAAGAGGTTTGTTTTGGCTCACAGTTTAAGTGAGTTTGGTCAATGGTTGGCCAGCACCAAGGCAGAACTGATGTGATGGACGGGCAAGGAGCCAAGGAGAATAAACCTTTGCAGGTCACATCCCAGTGACACACCTGCTCCAAACAGGCTCCACCTCCAAACAGCAGTTAGCAATGAACTCACAAGTGGACTAATCCATTAATAAGCATAATACCTGCCATGATCCAATCACCTTCAAAAAAATCCCACATCTGAACATGAGTCTTTCGAAGGACATTTTAGACCTAAACCATAACATTCCATCCCTGGACCCCAGAAGGCTCAAGTCCATCTATTACACAAAATGCAATTAGGGCACCTCTAAGAGTCATCAAAGTCTTAACAATTCAGCACTACTAAAAAAAAAAAAAGTGTAAGTCTAAAGTCTCCTCTGAGACTCAAGGCAAACTCTTAGCTATAAGCCTCTGTAAAATCAAAATTAAATTCTTTCAGCATATAATGGCAGAGGGTAAATATTCCCCTTTCAAAAAGGAGGAACATGGGGATAGAAAGGAATCACACCAAAGAAAGAATGAAAATCACCAAGGCAAGCATTAAATCTTGTAGCTTTGTGTGCAGCACTCAGGGAAGGTTGTGGCAAGATGTGAGCTCCAAAGGGCTTGAGCTGATTGCAGTACACATGTCCTTTCACTTGGCCCAGTTCTAACACATACTTAGGGTTTTTCTCTGCTGACATTTCATGTTTCTGGCATCATCACCTTCCTAGGATCTCAACTGCATCTTTGGCTACACTCTCACAATTTCATGCATTAAAGTACCTGATTCTCAAAATTAAAGGAGGAAAGGTTTATCTAGCTCATAGTTTGCAGAGGTTTCAGTCCATAATTAGCTGGCTCCAAGGCAGGGTGGCATGGCAGAGGGACAACTGTTCATGGCAGCAGAAGACAGCAAAAGCAGTAAGAGGGAAGACAGCAAGCCTCTTTCTGTCCCTTATATTGTATGCAGCCTACCCACTCTACGGCAGGTATAGCACTTACACCCTTAATCCAAGCACTGGACCATGAATCAATCACAAGTTCTAGATTCAGCCACCTCCAAAAACCCAGCCCTCCATGACCACATGAGGCTTTGGGGGGAATTCCAAACACAAACCGTAACACCCAAATTAAACCCAGGGACTTCACACTGAGTTATACCACCAGCCCTTTTTATTTTTTATTTTGAGGCAGGGCCTAACTAAGTCAGTAAAGTGGCCCATACCCAGGCTTAAACTCAGCATTCTCCTACTTCACCCTCTGAGTGCTGGGTTTATAGGTATTCACCATCATACCCAGCTGTAAATGCTTTCTAGTTGTTCTATTTCCCCCTCATTCTTGTCTTTTGTTGATCCAATTTATCTTTCTCCTGTTTTAAACTTCCATTTTCCATTTCTATTTTCGTTACTCATATTTAACATACATGTATAAATTTACATTTTTATAGAGTTAGTATTCATACTTTTCCCTACCTCTGGCCCCTCCAAAACTAGCAAACATTTTGTTTTCCCTATTTATCTTTTTCCCCTCATCATATTTTTCATGTGTTTTATTACAGCATATTATATAGATTAATGAGATTCATTTTGGCAGATATGTATATGCACATAACATATTTTGATCATATTTTCCTCCCATCACTTCCTTGCCCTCTCCTCCCTTAGTCTCACATTTGAGGAGAAGGTTTCAATCTCTATATTTAAATCCTATCTATTCCCCCATTACCTAGCCTTACCTCCTCCCCCTCATTCCCTTCCTCATGTCTAACAGACTACCATCCACTTCTGTACTTTTTAGACTCCCTGTATTAGGGAGAACATGTGTTAACAGTCTTTCTGAGTGTGGCTAATTTGGCTCAGCATGATCATCTTCAGACCCATCCATTTTCCTACAAATGACAAAACTTCATTCTTCTTCATGGTTGAGTAATACTTCATCAGATATATAGATATAGATATAGATATATAGAGATATATATATATACACACACATTTTCTTCATTCATTTGTTGATGGGTACCTAAGATAGCTGCATATTTTGGCAATCATGAATTGTACTTCAACAAACATACATGTTTATTGTGCCTCAATAAACATGGGCACATGGTAACTTTAATTTCTTTAGGTATGTACCAACGAGTGGTATAGCTAAATCAAATGGTAGCTCTATTTTTAGGGGTTTTTTTGAGGAACTTCCATTCTGAATCCTACAGTGACTGTACTAATTTATATTCTCATATGCAGTATAGAAGGCTTCCCATTCTTTTAATCATCACCAGCATTTATTGATTTTTTTTTGTATTCTTAATAACTGACATTCTGATTGGCGTGAGATGGAATTGTCAGTGTAGTTTTGATCTGCATTTCCCTAATGGTCAAAGATGCTAAATATTTTTGTATACTTATTGGTCATTTATATGTCCATCCTACTCACCACTTATTAAGTTATTTGATTTTTTTTGGTGTTAAGTTTTTTTAGTTTTTTTTTTTTTTTTTTTTTTTTTTTCTTTATATATTCTAGAGGTTAATCATCTGTTGGAAGAGCTGCTGGCAAATATTTTTCCCCATTCTGTAGGTTGTCTCTTCACTCTATTAGTTGTTTTCCTTGTTGTGCAGAGATTTTTTAATTTGATATAGTCCAATTTGTCAATTCTTATTATTTCTTATTATTATGGAGTCATATTCAGGAAATTTTTGGCAGTTCTTAGAGGGTTTTTTTTTTTAGCAGTTTTAAAGTTTCAGGTCTTATACCTAGGCCTTTCATTCATTTTGTATTTATTTTCAGCATAGGGTGGGAGATATAGCCTGGTCTCATATTGAAATCACCTAAAATTTTAGTACTAGAATTTAAATCTTTAATAGATTTGTTTCATTAATTACTTTAGTTATCACTACTCTGATTCTGGGTTAATTAACCATGAATTAGTAGAAAGACAATTATATTTTTCATTGAGGATTTCCTCCTGGACTGTTTTAAGGAAAACAGGGAGAAATAAAGATGTATGACACCAGACGTTAACTTTCCGGGTGACATGTTCCTTATTCTTCACAGGCATCAAGAACTACCCAGGAACAGTCTCTTTCTCTCTGTCTCTTGGTCTCTCTCTCTCTCTTTCTCTCTGTCTCTTGGTCTCTCTCTCTCTCTCTCTCTCTCTCTCTCCCCACCCCCTCTCTGTCTCTGTCTTTCAGTCATTAGTCTCTCTCTCTTCCCCAAGCTCCCACATTCACTTCTGCCTGGAAACAGCCATCCCATTGCTGATGCCTGATCAAAGACAAAATGGATGTGGGCTGAAAAGCGGCTAACTAACCAAAGTCCCATTGAGGTAACCCCACAAATTACCTTATTCATTGTCCCTGGCGCTTTACCTGTGGAAGACTGATCTCTTATACATGTTCCCAAATATAATTTCCTTCTTCAATCCAATCCTCTTTTCCTCCTTCAGAGATTTATCACAATTTTTGGTTTATGAGATACATGATTTGATATTTTAAACTATAGTTTCCATTATTTTTAGGGTAGGTAAGCATGTTTTAGTATAAGTTGTGAATGCCACATTAAAACTGCTTTAAATTTTTTTATAGCCCAAGGTTATACTAGTGGTTAATTTAACATATTTGAAACACACACATACACACACACACACCTTGGGTCCTAAGTGCAGCACATTCATTATATCATTTAATGTAAGCATGCATTTGATTTACACTATTAAAAAAGGAATACCTACCTGTGTATAATTTTCTTTTTGTCTGAAGTCAGTATTGGCAAGCTTCAACTGCTTCACAGAAATTTCTTCTTTTATATCTAGATTACGTAGTACTGCTTCAAGTCAATTATGAAAAGAGAATCAGATATCATTTCAACTCTTTTTTTCTGATGAAGCTTGAATCCAGGGCCTCACCCCTGCAAAGCTTGAGTTCTACAACATTTTAACCTAACTCCAACATTTATCCTAACATCTCCAACATTTAACCTAAACTTCTAATTCAGAAAATCAAGTCTACATGAATACTGAATTTAAAATAAAACAGAATTATGAAATTATTTTTAAAATTCTTAATTCATACAGTAACTATGAACATGAAATGACAAAATGGCCAACTGATAAAAGGAACCTTTTATAATGGATAACCAAAGAAAACACAATAGTCATATAAATAATATGGGGGGAAACAACCAATGTAGGCAATGTCATACAGTTTAGATAATCTAATCTACAGACCCCTTGAATGAAATCTGACTCAAACATCTCAGTGATAAATCACAAATAGTAATAACATAAGTCTCCTATTCACTTGAATCACATATAATGATAACACAACTCTCAAAATGAAGAATATGTAATAATTCATCCTGTGTGACAGTTGTGGGACCACAGCAGAACACTTCTTTAAAATACACCAGCTGAATGTTTTCTTTCTCAAAGAGAGAAAAAGGTATAGAAAACATATCTTGCTTGTTCTCATAAAGGTTCAAAATGGTACCTTCCTGAGTCTCTAGGTCTTCATTATTGTTTGTTCTTGCTTACAACAAATGATAAATAAAATTACTTCCTTTTATTTCTTCTTGTGTTTGTACATTAAAAAAGTTTTTTTAATAATAATTCTATACCTGTAATTTTTGGATCTGAAGACTGCCTCTTTCTTGGTCTTACTAATTTCTGAGATTCATAGGGCAGATATAATTGACAACCTTGAGGAGTTTTCCTGAATACATGCTCATCTTTTTCAATAATTCTGAAGAAAAGAATAGATTACATTCAACATTAGCTGAGTAAAAATTAAAATTTTAAAGCTAGAATGGATATTTAGGTAATACCTGTATACAGTTAAAATCCTTCATTTTGCAGGTAATGAAACTGAGTTCCAGAAAATTTAACAGACTTGACCAATACTATTAAATTACTTGGTACTCATGTCAGAGTTAAGAATACACTTTTCCTGATCAAGTCCAATCCTCTGCTCAGTATACCATACTCTTATTTTAAAACAATCATTTTTAAAGATTTTTTAAACAGATCAAAAACATTTTAAACTAGTTGTGGTGGCATACGCCTGTAATCCAAGCACTCAAGAGGCTGACGGGGGCGCACTGCCAAGAGTTGAAAGCCAGCCTGAACTACATAGTGAGACACTATCTCAAAAAAAAATTTTTTTAAATCAAAGCTTTAACCCCAAATAACATCTTTTAGATTTCAGAGTACTTTAAGCTTTAAAATGATTCATTCAGAAAAAATCTGACTAGGATGAATACAGAAATCATTAAAGCAATATAACTGTCTTTTAAATTTTTTTACTGGGAGAAAATTTCATTGAATTTTTCCTAATTAAAGAACTAGAAAAGCACTATCAAAATACATTAGTCCCTCCTCCTCAGCAGATGCCTGAAACCACGTATGGTATCAAACACTAAATATGTTGTTTTTTCCTACCTATACAAAAATTTAATGCTTTTTCCACCTTCACTAAGGTCTTACACAGTGGATAAACTGTGGCCATAACTTCTGCAGTGTGAAGTGTGACAGCAAAACTAGCATGAATTTCTTTTTCCTTCACAATTTTATGGACACAGATTCATTCTCATCACTGATCTTAGCAACCGAAGTGTATGATAGTTTTCTTTCCTTAAGTTGATACTTTTCACTTAAGGAAAGTACTTCACAGCTTTTCGCTGATATTCAAATTTCGAGTATCACTACTCTTTGCACTTTGGGGGCACTTTTATGTAGAATAAGGGTAACTTAGATACAAGCACTATGATACCACAACAGTCAGATAACTGACATGACTACTAACAGGCGAGTAGCGTATTCAGCATAGGTACACTAGACAAAAGGATGATTCATATCCCATGAGGTCAGAACAGGATGGCATAAGACTGCATCACATTACTCAGAATAATGTGTGGTTTAAATATTTACTTCTGGATTCTTTTGTTTAACATTTTTGGACCATGGTTGACCATAGATAACTGAAACCATAAAAAGCAAAACTATGGATAAGGGTGAACTACTGTATATATTGAGTAAAAAATGACTAAACATTTATGTAAGTCCCATTCAATGTATAAAATTTTTATATTAAATCACTGTTAAGCTAGGTGTGATAGTGCACACCTGTTATTCCAACACTCAGGAGGCTGAGGCAGGATTGCTGCAAGTTGAAGACCAGCCCGGGCTGCATAGCAAGACCCTGTCTAAGACAGAAAGAAAGAAAGAGAGAGAGACACAGACACACAGAGATAGAAAGAGAGACAGGGAGGGAGGGAGGAAGGAAAGAAAGAAATTTATTTCTGTAAGAATCTACACATTTGCCTATTTATTCAGTTTTAAAATTAAGGACATGCTGCCATAGATGTGATATGAGGGAGTGGGGAAACAAGAAAGTAAGAGATATCGGGACTAGGGATGTGACTCAGGGGTAAAGAGCATGCTTAGCACACATGAGGCCCTGGATTCAATCCCCAGCACTAGCTGGTTGGGTTGGGGAAGGAACCTGAAAACAGATCCAAGGAAGTGGAATTAGGGAAATTAACACAAGAGTGTGCTGAAAATCAAAGGAGAGCAATGGAACCTGAGGAACTAAATTTAAGAACAAAAAGGGAAGAGGTGGTATATGCAGAAAGGAAAAAACAGAAAGTTGATCAGAAACAAAAACAATAATACATCCATTTTTCTCTCAAACAATAGTGGACGAAATCAGTTTTTTTTTCTTAATGCCTCTATCACTCATGTCTGTATTCTCACCATTAGGACAAAAGACAAAGAAATACATGATGCAGCAGATTTAGTAGCATGTTTGGGCTCATCTTCACTCTTAATGGTAAGGGAAGAGATAGTCAAGCTGGTATCAGGGTGATAAAAAGGTAGGGACTCTGTTTCCACCACTGCTTCTCCTGTTTTACTTTGATCGCTGACCTACTATAGAAAAGTGGATAAATTACATGACTGACAAGTTATAGAACACAAGATGTGCTGTTGCTACTGTATTCTCTCTACACAATATCCTTGCCCTTAATAAATAATAAGCAGATGTAAATATTAGTTCATAACATTTAAGTATGTAAGCTAATATATTTCATAAAATACTAACACAAGTTGCCCAAAAGCTTGTATCAGGATAGAACACAGAATCAAACTTTTAGATGAAGAATAAAACATAAAACCTGATTTTGAAGTTTACTTATTATACCTTTCTTTCAATTCCTTTCTCTTTTCTGGATTTTTGTTGTTTTCTTCCAGAGTTTCTGAAAGATTCTTACTCTGATAAAGTCTTGCAATCTCCTAAAAAGGAAAACAGGAAAGAAAAGCAAAATAATTACATATCAAAGTAGTACACAAGATTTATAGTTTTGGGAGTATTCACTTTTATTGAAAATGGCTAGAAGTAAAAATTAACCCTAGTTCATATTCTTTCAACTTTTCTTTACTCCTAACTCAGCAAATGTAAATTTCAATAAATTCCCACCATAAAAAAAATGAAAACAGCCATAAACAAGGTAAACATTGATTCTTGGCATAGGGATATAGTTACTACAAAGAAAATAACATCCATTTTTATCTCATTTCTAAAATTGTATTACTGATACTTGGTGCCTCATAACTATAAATGATATATACATTTTAACATAATTTTTAAACAATTTAGAAAATCGAGTATCATTCAATTGTTTATCAAAATCTGCAAGTAATTTTTAATAGGTTTTTGTACCTATGTGAACTAAAATCATAATTCAATAGATGATACTAAAAATATATTTAAGAAAATCTTATAAGCTAAGAAAAGCTATCTCTAGCCTAATTCTCTAAAAATTATAAATCATAGCCACAAATTTTCAAGAGTAAATTCTTTAGACTATTATCTTGGTCCCTTTTTTGAAAATACTTTTAGTCTCTTAATGCCTTAAAATTCCTGTTATGGGGGCAAGGACAGTTTTGTGATAAAGAGCATGCCTAACATGAGTGAAGGCCTCAGTTTAATCCCCTGCATCATAAAGTAGGTAAATAAATAAAGTCATTTGACTAGGCTACATTTTGTTCCTTGCTCATCTTCTTTTCTCAGACCCCAAAGAAAGCCAACTCTTGCCCAAAACTAAGAGTTAAATCTATTCAATATCTAAAATACATTTTGGCTTCAACAGTAATCAGAGGCAAATAAATTAATCTTTCCCCATATATAGGTTTTCTTAAAAATAGCTCTCCTAAGACTATTAGTATACTATTACATTAACACTTACATAGTAAAAGGAATATATAACAAAAACATACCTTGTTTAAAGAATTAATTTCTATTTCTGCTTCATTTATTTCTTTTTTCAATTCAGATGAATTTTTGGTAAAATTGTTGGCATATGTAAGAATATCTTCTGTTTTAAATCTCAAATTAACTCTTTTTACGCTAAGGAACTGTATCATACAAGTATATTTACATTTATAATACATGTATTATATCAGAAATAGTTGATGTTACATAACATTATTTATGTTATTTACAATCATGTTCTTTATAAGTAATAAACAACATTAATAACTATCTGAAGAGGTAAGACCAATATAAATATTTAGCAGACTAGCAAAATAATTTACTGTTATATATTGAATTTTAAAATAATGTGTCATTGAAAAAATGTTAGAATGACTTTCATTAAATACTTTCTCAAAGTGGTATTTTGCTTTTTCCTTACATAAGCCTATTGTGTCATTTGGCATGACTAATATAATATAATCAATATGCTTCCCTTATTTTTCTGCCAAAGTCAACATAAAAATTCACCCAATTTCCCTTTTCTTGCTACATAATGTTCATTAGCACACCCTGGAGAACTCAGAAAAGTGCTCATCTGGACTTTCTTATACTCAATTTCAAGCAGAAAACGTCTCCATTATTAATAGATATCTTGCATTGCTATTAGCTGATAAAATTTCCTAAATTACTCTATAATCCACTTAGAATTTAAAAATGAATAGAACAGCAAACAAGAACTCTAGAGAAAACTTATCAGACCTTTGCTATCCTGTCTTAAAAAATATATGACCTATATGCTAGAACACAAAATGTGAATATAATTTATAAGGCTATGTCATTACCAAAAGTATCAATTTAAAATTTTACATATAGATATTTAAACTGTAATCTTCAATTCTTCCTACCTCCGTCACTTCTCATCATGCAATTTTAATCTCAATTCATGCAACTCCCGAAATCTTGGCTATACCTTCAGCCATCTATCCACCTCTGTCCCTTGCCACCAAGCTAGTGGTGGTGAACCTATGGGATATGTGCCACAGCAGGCATGCAGAGCCTTTTCTGTGGGCATGACAGCCAATTTATCCTAGCAGCTAAGCATCAGATAACAGTTGTTTTTCTGAACTAAAACCTCTGTATTCAGGCTTAATTGCAGCATTGGCACTTCACAATAAATAAGTGGGTTTTGGGTTGCAGTTTGGGCACTCAGTCTTTAAAAAATTTTACCACTGCTTACCTAAACAGTTAAAACACAGATAAGCAGCAAACTAACAATTAAAATCAGAACAGGCTAAAACCAAAATGGGAAAAGAGCAAGCAGAAGAGTAGCTATAAAAAATGGTTAAGATGAAACACACAGGAAGCAAGGCAGAATGCAGGGACAAAGACAGTACAAACAGTGGAGTTATAATCTGATAGGAAAAAGGTTATAAAGATTGTTGAGGTGGAAAGAGGATTAACATTTCAAGATCATCATCATGGAAGATCTTTCTGACAAACAAGTGAGACTTACACCAACTAAGAATTACTTAAGTACCTACGGCAGTGATGGCAAACTTTTTAGAGCTTTCAAAGATACAAACATTCTACTCTTGCATGCTTGTCATAGGCTCACCCCAGCTGATCCACGGTACTACAGTGGTACTGAATTAGAATTATTTATTCACATCTGTCTCTCCTAAAATTTGAATTCCTTACAAGAGAACTCTAACTTTCTCAGTTTTGCCTAGTACAAGGTAGGTACCCAATGAATTTTCACAATTAGTGAATAAATGCGATTCACTTCCTTATCACCTTTTATCCTAATGAGTAATTAATCATCAATAAACTTAATTGGAACTTTCTTTGTTAAGACAGAGTAAGCTAACTTTTTCACTGGCTTGGTTGCTAAGATGTGCCAGATATGTGTACCATTTTAGTTTTACTCAAATTGTTTGCTTTTATCACATGGGCATACTATATATACCAAAAGAAGTCCCAGAACACTTTTAAAGTAATCTTTAAAAATCCAAATTAAACACAAAGACAAATCCATGATATTCGCATCAGGAAATGACAATAAAAATTAAAATTAAGAAATACTACTTATCTAATAAAATTATAATTAGCAACACTTTTGGGGATACATGTGCAATGTCCACTTAGAAAGTGATGGAAAGGGTGCAGGCACTGAAAAACAAAGTCAGAGTTGAGATTGTTATATTTTTTCATTACAAAGATACCATAATAAAGCAACATAAAACAAAAATATTAGTACCTAGAAGTTCCTTAAGGATTGCTTCATTTGTTTTTAATTGCTCAGTACATGCTGACATTCTGTTTTCAATTTCTTCATATTCGCTTTTCTTCTCATAATAGTTACGTGAAAGGGGTATTTCAGAGTATTTTAGTTGGTACTGCTTTAAAACATCTTTATACTGACTTATACGACCATGATACATTTCTCTGTCAAAAGGAATAATGCAGAACAGATCTAAAAACTTAGTATCACTTGTTAAAATCTACTAAATTAAGCATAAAAGGCAAGTCAAATATCTACTTATCTCTACTTCCCCCAATATTGTCTGCCCTTCAAACCTCCTTAACCCCTTCATACTTCTCACCTACGTCCTTTTTCTTCATTACCTGTGTGTTACTCACTCCTTAACCCTGTTCAGTTTAACTGCCGTTCCCACACTGGTCTTTCCAGCATCATCAGCAATCTAATTTGTCCAACTGAATGATCTATTTTTTGCACTCATCCTAACTAATACTGGAAAATCTATTTCTTCTGGTCACTTACACCTTTCAAAAATTCTTGCTGGGTTCTGAATCTCTCTGCTATCCCCAGCTGCCTTTACAACCATGCCTTTTTATCTCTATCAATTTCCGTAGCTAAAGCTATCACATGAACTAATGTCCTGTGTTAGAATTGGGAGTTCTGATCTTTCAGGTGCACCCCTTAACTACTTTTATGAAGAAAATTTTAGCATAGTTTGAAAGAACTCTTTCAGATCAACTCAAGTAGTAGTGGATGACTATCTATTTAGGCACAAATCTTGAGTGGAGCATTATTACCAAAAAAATCCTAACACTTTTTTTTATTTGATCCAAAATTCATTAACTAAAGGAGTTACTTACTACAGTCTATGTGCCAAGTTTATTTTGCCATCTGTTCCTGTATGGTTCATAATCTAAGAACAGTTTTGACATTTTTAAATGACTGAAAAAATTCAAAAAAATTTCCATGATGCATTAAAATTACATGAAACTCAAACTTCAGTGTCCATAGGTAGTCTTATTGTCTCATGGCTTATTTACATATTGCCTAAAGGTGCTTTATGCCACAACAGCAGTACTGAGTAGTTGTAACAGTCGACATGGCCAATAACGCCTAAAATATTTAATATCTGGTCCTTTCCAAAAAAAGAAAAAAGTTTGCCAACCCTGATTTGTAACATCAAAAATATTTAATCTAGTTCTTTATACAAAAAGATATTTTAAATCCTCTTTTTACCCAGTTCTTACAGTTTCAAGAAATAATATTTATAGTAAGCTTTCCTTTGTGAAAGACATATGGTCCTTACTACATTTCTCAAGATTTTCTTATTTCTTGGATCAAGTTATACTACATGGAAGAATTTCTTTAAAAATGTAAGAGTCACTTACCTTAGCAGATGAAGAATAATAAGTATTGATAAACTGCTGGTTTAATCAGAAGAAAAGGATAACAGTCTGAATGTTAAAAATGGTCTAATTTTTTAATATTACTAAACTCTGCCCCCTTTAGCAAAACAAAGCAGGTGAGTCAAAAATAAATTCCTATTCTTCTAAATGTTCATTTTCTAATTAAGACCCCCCCCATGCTTATTATGCAATAACTTGGGAAAATGATGCAGGGAGTAGAAAAATGGCTATAAGAAAAATAGACCTGGGGACCCAGATTCAGATGAGACTGGCATACCACATTCATCCGGTTTATACTGTATATTTGTGCCTACTCTTCTGTCAAACTCCATGTAGGACCTCTAGCTCGGCACAGCATAGCTAAGTAGTGACTCTAAAAGATCACCATTATTATCTCATCTGTTGCTAACAATATTAATCTTTATGAATGCCTGGGACAGGGAGAGGGAGGAAAGACTGGAAATAATGAGCTTGGTGTCTCTACTTCTTTAGTCACCCCTGACATCAACAAAAAATGCCTTTGTTTTTAGAAATGCCTAGTATTGAGTCATCAATTAACCTATGTGACTAAGAAAGAAAGAGCTGTTTCACTTCAATGCCTCTGGTTAGCTCAGAGAAGTCATCTATAACAAACACTATCACAGAGGTACATATCTGGACTGGTTTGCTTTAGCCTCTTACAGAATAAATTTCAAGAATTTAACATTTTAAAATAGCCGTGACTTACACTAAGAAATGTTATAAGCAGTCATATATGTTGTCCTTTATGGGGAAGGTCACTGAAGATACAAACTAGCAGACTCCAGAATTTCCCCTTTATGAGGACCCACAGGAAAATAATTTAAGTTTCAGTAAACAGTTCTACCTATCCTAAGCAACTGAACTGTTTTTTAAATGAATATTCTGAGTCCCAACCTAGTCACATTTCCACAATGCTTCAACTACAAGGAATTTTAAAACCTAATCTGCACCTATTGTCTAACAATGTGCAAGACCACAAAGGATGAATTTCAAACTTGATCAAAGGGTTCTTAAATTTCCCTGCTTTCCTGTAGCTTGATTTTTATATTTAGTGGATTTTTTAAAAATATAATGGTATTATTTATATAAATCATCTCAAATTGTTTGGGGAATGAAGCAAGACAGCCTAGCAATCTCCTTTCCTTTCTGTCTGCTCTTTGGATGATGGCATACTCTGCCTTTCTCCTCTTTATGCTCTATTTCCCTGAAAATCTCATCTATTTTCATGACATTCATTAAGAACAATCTATAACTTCAGCCTCTAACTTCCCTTAAGACTCAACTTTGATATTAAAAAAATGGAAGACTCAACTTTGATAATAAAGGACTGGAGGTATTTTGTGTGTTTTTAAAATTAAAATATAAAAATATACAACTGCTCTCTTCCAATTATGTTAAAATTAAAATAATTTCAATTTTTAATTGATGAAGTTTTAACGCTATACATCATGTTCACAGTCTCTCAGCTTATTTCATTATATTCACTAATTACACTTAATCTCCAAGACAATGTGAATATACAAATAAACCCACACAAGCACCAGTATTTTTCATTAGAATAAACCTTCACTGATACACAAAATCAGCAGTCTGAAAACTGAAATTTTATATACTTTTATAAGCTAATTCTATAGATTATTATTCCCCCAGATGTTTGCTTAAAACTGCTGAGTCATAACTGCTGCTGAAAAACTTCACATATATAAGGCAAATCTAAACATATCCAGGAGTAGAGAAAGATTTATAACGAACAGGTACACCTGCAATGGTCCAGAGTCCAAAATATTATTCACTTCACAGAAAACTTCCTCACAATACAAATTTTCTACATTTTTAGGTAGCATTTTTATGAAGCATGTCCCAGTAATACTAACTTACAGAATGCCTATTCTATACATAGAATATAGAAAATGTTTATATAGAGAATATAGAAGAATGTTTAAATCAATATATATACTATACCTGTCTTTTTCAATAGTTTCTTGATAAATAGTAAACTGGCCCTGCATATAATCTTCATGTTTATGAAAAACATCACATGTTGTCTTCCAGCTGTGGAAAAAGATTATAGTTGTATTTAGCATCTCAGAATGATAAATAGAAATAATGCTAAAATGGGATCACTGAAGAAGAAATGAATCTCTTTCTAGAGCAAACAAGTTTACATCAAGAAAAATTTTCCCATTTCCTACCATCACCATCATTCATGTACTCCTCTATTAAATATTAATGCTCATTAATTTACACGGATTTTTTGAAACAGGACTAAGGAAGGAGCAAATGCATTATGGCTAGATTGTGCGTTGCCATAGCATTTCTATTACACTCTCCAATACTCCAACATCAGACCTTTCTCATCATATTCTAAGATTTTGACTAAGAAATTCCTTTGGAATAGGCATTGAAAAAGCTAGGCTAAAGACTATTTTGTAGACAGGGTCTCACTATGTAGTTTAGGCTGGCCTTGAACTCCTGGATATCCTCCTGTCTCAGCATCCTGCATGCTGGAATTATAGGCATGTACCACCATGCCTGGTAAATATTCATCTTATTTATTTTTGTTTTATTATATATGTTGAGAAACATTACCAATAGGAAAAATCTAAAATTACTATATACCATTCTGTTTGAATATTTCCTCTTGTTTCTAATTTTTTTCAGATTCAAAAGTATGCTCATTCTAGAAGCATAAAAAAGCATATATTGTATAAAAAAATATGACCCACATTCTCAATATTAAAGAACTATTATCATTTTCAGATTTTACTATAATTATATATTTAATGTCACTAAAACTATATCCACATATGATTTATCTTCCTTTACCATTTACAGAAAAAAACTTACACTATAATAATACTGATCTGAATTTCTGGCTATGTCTTAAAAAACATTCTCCAAAATGGAATAGGAAGGTCAAAGATTATACATACATGTATTCTGAACATTTGAAGTTCCGTAAGAAGTACATGTCTGCTGAGAAGATATTCACTCTTATGGTGACATACATTTTGGTATACATCTACCTAGATGTTTTAAATTATAATTCTACTGTTTTATTATCCACTTTGTTCAATTTGTAGTACTGTGCTCTGTTAACATCTTTCCATGTCAAACACACATCTTCATCATTATTATATTGGCTGCCTAGTGTTCAATCATGTACCAAAGTTCATTTAGCCAATCCCCTTAATACTGAACATTAGAGTTACTTCCAATGCTTTCCTATCATGAAAAAGGCTGAAACAGATTTTTTTAAATTTATGAGCTGGGTATGGTGGCACATGCCTATAATCCCAGCATTCATGAAGCTGAGGCAGAAGGATCACTTCGAGCTTAAAGCCAGGCTGGGATATACGGTGAGTTCAAGGCCATCCTGAACTACATAACAAGAGCCTGTCTCAAAAAAGGGGTAGGAAGAACAGGACCTAAACAGACATTTCTCAAAAGCTCTTTATCTTGAAAAATTTTAGATTGGCATCTGGTGTGGCAGCACATACTTGTAATCCCCCTCTATGGGAGACTGAGGCAGTGAGGCAAGAGGATCACAAAGTTCCAGCGCTACTTGGGCAATGTAACAATTTAATGAGACCCTATCTCAAAACAAAAAATATAAAAAAGACTGGAGATGGAGTTCAATCAAAAGATCAAGGGCTCAAAACCAAAGGAAAAAAAAAAGGTTGGATTATTTCACACAAAACTATGATAATGAAAGATCAAAGACTGAAATTATTTCAAAAATATCTATTAGGGAATTTTAAAGGTAAGCTTACATTTTAAAAAACTCTGTATTCAGACTAGATCTGAATTGGTAAGATCTTATAGCATTTACTTTTATTTTTCTCTTGAGTCTCCTGTGATCCCTTTCTACAGTATGATGTAAGGAGGCAATTAACAAGTGCATTCATTATTTTGCTAATATGCAATACTATCTTGGGGCTGGGGATATAGCTCAGCAGTTGAGCATATGTTTAGCATGTGCAAGAGTGTTATCAACTATCAACTCAGAAACATTGAATAAAGGAAACAAATGACAATTACTGGAAATTTCTTTCAAATACTCACTTACTACACTTTTCTTTGATCTCCTCAATATGTTTACGATAATGAGTAATTTCCTCATCTGTTTTATTTATACTTTCACGTATCTTACAAATTGTTTCTTTGCTTTCTTTAATATCTTCAAGGCATTCTGAAAAGAGGATATGTTTATTTTCTTAAAGTAGAAATCGTAAGTTCAAAATAAACAAATACAGTAGGTAAAAAGAGGTGTATGACAACTTATGCGTCCCTAAAACAAACAGAGCCAAAGAATGGAGAGTAAGGTTTGAGATGGAAAAGCACCTTACACTAAAAAGCAGAAAACCTGAGCCAGTCCTGATCCAAGACCCAGATGTGAAGGACTTATCTTTCAGATTGAAGAAAAATGAATGTTCTCTGTCTCTCATCTTTGACAGACAAGGGATAAACGAGGCGGTATTTAAGATCAATCTATCATACTAATCTATCCATTCATGTTAACATTTACTCATTAATGACACTAACATAGGCTTTTGTTTTTGACAAATGTGCAATTTCTATTAAATTCTATGTCAATTACTAAACACACCTTCGATCACTTGTTAGTAGCCATCAAAAGTAAAAAATAATTTCGTGAAAAGTTTAAAAGAATTTCATAATACTCTTTTTGGACTGCAGAAGATAATCAAACTTTTTTTAGAACTATTACAAATTTAGCAGTTCTATTTTTAGAAGTTAAAATACTATATTTAATTAGCTTTGCCTTTCAGTTATATTATTTGTTTTTCAGAATTATTATTCCTGAACTTGTGGCATCTATCAATCTTGGCCCCTCAGCTTTGATAATTTCTATAAAGAAAACATTTTCACTCAAATATTTGAGATAAACAGTGTCTTTTCAGTTGCACTTAAGGGGTCAGTTCGGCTTAGCAAAATAATTCACAAAATAAATGCTGAGCGTACAAATTTATTGTTTGAAACAGCTAACACCCATTTTGCCTGTTAATAGCTCAGAACTAATTACTAGAGACAACTCCCACAAAAGTTACAGTGGCAACTGTTAAACTGCCCTAAAGAAAGCCATTAGATATCGTCCTATGCCATTAAAAAAAATTAAGACTAAAATAACTGTATCATGTAAAACTACTTACTATTAATTCTTTCAATCGTATCTTCTTTAGCACTTATGTCTTGCTGATACTGGAAAACTAAAACAATTCTTTTGTGACTTTATTCCATGGTTAAAATGTCAAGTGATAACACAGTTGCCTATTCCTTTAATTTTATACCTACCAAATTCTAACAAAAGCCTGTCCAACCTAGCAAATAGGCTGTCGCTCATCTTGGCGTCTAGGTCTAAAAAGGGAAAAAGCGGGATTTTTTGCAGACGCGGCCGCGCGCGGGGCTCGGGACCGCGCGCCGGGCTCGGGACCGCGCGCCCTCGCCCCGAGCCGAGCGCGTCCCTCCGGGCGCGGCGCGAAGGACTTCAGCCTGCACGGCAGGTCCTGAGAGCGGTCTTCAGGGTCACGATTCACCCGCAGGAAGGGTCACGTGGCTTCCTCAGACGCGCAGCGCGGAAGGCGCCCCCGCAGGCGCCTCCGCTCCCTCAGCCGCCCTGACGGCCACGCGAGACGCGCGTCCCCGCGCCCGCCACGCTCCTGTCAAGGCGAGCCAACCCACACGGGTCCCGCTCCGCTCCCGAGCCCACCCGAGACCCAAACCTCCGCGCCCTCTCTCCCCGCGGCGGGCCCGCGACGCCTCAGCGAATCTCCACGCCAGGCGCTGCAGCTGCGCCCCGCCCCCCTGCAGCCATCCCGGGAGACCCCGCAGAGCACGCGGCCCGCAGACAGCGCGGAAGAGCGAGATCACGCGCGGCGCGAGACCAGAGCGGGAAGCGCGGGCTTCGCGTGCGCCTGCGCCGAACTTCTGAGCACCCCTCAGTGGGTGCAGAGGGCGATGAGAGGACCAGAGCACCGGGGCTCTGCATGTGTGGGGCTCTGCAGCTCTGCTGCAGACGAATGTTTTTTAAAGCCTCTTCGGGCCTGTCGGAACATTTATAAATATTTTTAAAAATATTTGAAAGAACAGTAATAAAATTGATACTTTTAACATGACTGTAAAAAACGAGTAATAATCAAAATTTAGTTTTGAATTCAGTATTTTCCAGACTCCTTGAAAAGCAATATGAGCCCAACGCACCTTTTATTAAACATTTTGTTTCAAATCAGGTTTTCAGGGGCTGGGGATTTAGCTCAGCGGCACAGCGCCTGCCAGGCAAGCGCAAGGTCTTGAGTTCGATTCCTGGTACCAAAAAAAAAAAGGCTAAAAATATTGATAGGTAATTTATGCTGTTAGATTTGCATATCCAAAGTAAAAGAGTGAACACACACACACACACACACAAATTCAGTCCCCAAATTGCTGCTTTTCTCTTTTCTTTTTGTGCTGTGGATTGAACCAGAGCCTCTAGTCCAAGTGCGAGTATGGTCCTCTTTCTCATGAGCGCGATACTTACTGTCTTTTTTCCTATGAGCACTCTGGTCTGAGCTTCTACCAGAACTGCTCATCAACGTCTGCTTATAGCAATCTAGAACTTACATGTTACACTGCGGCAAAGAACTTGTTCATGTTTATGTTCACCATCCCCTAAAACTGATGGTGAGCCTTTTAGAGACTGAGTGCCCGAATTGCAGCCCAAAACCCACTTATTTATCACAAAGTGCCAACACTGCAATTAAACCTGAATACTGAGGCTGTAGTTTAGAAAAAACAACTTTTATCTGATGCTCAGCTACTGGGGCGACTGTCTCACATGTCAACAGAGAAGGCTCTTTGTGCCCGCTGTAGCACATGAACCATAGGTTCACCACCACTGTGCTAAAACTTTGTGTGAGACTGTGTTTAAAGGCAATGTAGATTGCAACCGGCAAGGCTTGTAGGGGTGGGACTCTCCAAACCCTTTGGTTTTCACAGCATGACATGGGTGTCAAATGCCAAACATAGAGCTACAGGACAATATTTATCCATCTTGGCTTAGATCTTATTTTGGTCTTATTCTTTTCAATTTTCTATTCCTCATTTTCAGAATGGTAATGTTTACCCCAAGCCATTGTATCTTGGGAGCATAGAACTTGCTTTTTCATTGTCATAAGGGCTCACAACTAAGATTTTGCTTTGAGTACCAGGAATTTGAAGTTGGGCCTTTGGGCAATTCTGGAACTGTTGAGATTTTGAGGGAGGAACTGGTACATACTCAGTTCTATGCAGGATAGTCATCATGCTAGGCAGAAATACGATTTTATTGTTTTTACTTAGAGATTAAGCATGGTTTAAGATGGTATATTTGAGTGCCAAGTTGACAAGTTGTGGACTGTTATTGTTGATTTTAATTAAGTTGACTGTCTTGAGAGACACCTAGGACACTAGTAAGGTACATACCTGTATGTGTATGGGTAGATCATAGAAGCATTACACTGGGTACTATATCTAGTCCCTGTCCTTCCCTCTTGGGTTCTTCCCCTGTGCTCTGCTTCCCTAGCAGATTTCTCCTGCCACCGCTTTCTACCTTGATATTCCTAACACGGAGTCAATGAGCCATGGAGTGAGACCTTTCTTCCTTTAGATTGTGTATGTCAGGTATTTTGTCCCAGCAAAAGAAACTCTTAATATATTTTCCTTTTTTCCCTCTGATGGATATATTCAAATAACTTGACTTCAAGGTCACTGATTCTTTTTATGTTTAATCTGTTTTACTATTTATGTATTCTATTGTGTTTTTCACTTCACTTAGTGCTTTTTTAAGTACTAGGTTTTCTGACTCTTTTAATTACTTCAATCTCTCTTTTAGACTTCTCTGGTCAAGTACCAAATTATTTCTGTGTTCCCTTGAATTTCCTTAAGTTTTCTTAAAACAGCAATTTTAAATTCTCTGTCCAAGAGTTCATACACATAGATTGCTTTATGGTCAGTTACTGGTATCTATTTTGTCCTTCTGGGAGGTTATGGTTCTATAAAATTTCTTGATAAACAAGCATCTGCACACTGAAGGATTTGGTATTTCAGTCTTCCTAATACAGTTTTGTTTTTACCCATCCTTTCAGAAATTCTAAGCATACTTGTTAGTTTTTCTGAACCTGTAGTCACTACAACTGTTTCTGCACTACATAGTGCTCTAAGCCCAGGTTTGTCATGAGTCCAAAATTGGTGTCCAAAATTTGTCCAAAGTTGCTTCAGCATTAGAGGATGCCGTGAACCCAAATCTGTTGCAAATCCACAGTTGGTATACAAAGTAAACTGAGAAAGTATCTAAAAAAAATAAACTATTCCTGCAAGCCTCTGTTTGGAACTGGAGCATGTCTAGATGCCTTGTTCACACTCATTGCTCTGTGGTCAAGCTCCATAGGATTCTGCCCAGCACTAGACCTCACATAATAACTGTGGCTACATTCTTCTTCTTTCCTTAATGAGACAAATCTCGCCAAATTGTCCTACCTGGAGTTGGGACAGAGAAAGGGTATGCAGATCTGGGGCCACTAATCCTGCAATGTTGGGTTGCACTTGGAGCCTACATCCCACCATAACTGGCACAGAACAGGGACAGGATCAAGGGCCATGCCTGCTGCTGTGACGTACTCATGACCCAAGTCTGGTGCGGCCAGCCAGAGGTAATGCCAGCCAGTATACAAATCAGTCTAACTAGAGCTGTGTGTATCCACCTGGCACCAGGGTTGGCTCACAGGCTTTATTTGTGGGCACTGACTTACAAACAGGTACCATTGCAATCTACCAGGTATTAGGTTTCAGTGGTCTGACACTGCGTTTCAAGACAAAATTATGTGTTTATTTCTCTTCCCTGTCCCATTCCCCAGAAGATAAAGCTCTTCTCCATGCTGTGCTGCCTGAGTTTAGGGAAGCAGAGATGCTTGTGTCAACTTCAGTAAGAAATGCCCAAATTGGATCAGTATAGTTCTGGGTGTGGCTGAGGGGATTTACTGAAGACAGAAGACCCATTCTAGGTAAGCTTGTCACATATAAAAGAGAAACAAAGCATGAAAGCTTGCTTCTGTTTCTTTGGGGGAGCTGCAGTCTTCACTTTCAACTTAGACATCATCTCTTGGCTTCCC